TATATTTTCTGTTTCTGAAATTATAAGTATAAATTTGTGTTAAATATTCTAATACATATTTCGTGTACTTCCGTCATCATTATTATTCAGACTTTTCATAGTTGTTCGTTTCCAACGCTTATCAATATTAATAAAATGACAAAGCAACATTCAGATTAAATAAATATTTCTAACCATATAAAAAAGTCATTAATATTAACGGAATACGGTTGCCGAATGAGCATTTATTTACTAATTATGGAAAATCGTCATTTCCTATACGATTTTACAAGCACATGTGAATGTCAATATTTTAATATATTCGGTTATGAACGTTCACAGTGGAAAAGTTACATAAATGCAGTTTTCTTTTCCTTTTACAACATATGGCATTTGAAAAATATGCATTACGTAAAGTATCCACCCATGCAACTGGATTTATTTAACTTTAACAAAATTTATTTAAAGTCTTAAATAAGATGGAAGCTGTAGTACGAAAATAAATATATTGGTATTCAAGGGAAGAAAAGGTAGGGAAAGAGTGAATATAAAAATAGGAGACGAAATATTTGAAGTAGTCGCTGATTTTTGGTATCTAGGAAGTCAGATAATTCTAGGATAGCCTAGAGTCGAGTTGCTTTTAGCGAAAAGAATTCACTTTTATGCTGGCGAACGGTTAATTCAGAAATTCGAAAAATATTGTTAATGGTGTAGTAGTAGAAGGTGAAGTACGGCTCTGTATGGGTGCGATACGCGGAAAAGAAAAGGTTAAAAGCGTTCGAAATGTGCTGTTACAGGTAAATGATGAGGATACCGTGGATGGAGAAGGTTAGAAATAAGGAGGTATTAGAAAGAGTAGGAGAACAGAGGGATGCTATGAAATTCAATACAAAATAGGCGAGATAGCTTGATAGGACACCTTCTTAAGTATGAAGGACTAGTTAGAGATTTATTAGAAGCAGAAACAGGAATTGAAAGGAGTAGAGGTAGACCTAGATTAGATTACTGTTCACAAAGAATTAAGGATGTGGGATATTCCAGTTTTAGCGAAATGCGAAGATTAGAACTTAGGATAGCAAAGAGTGGAGGAGCGTGTCCAACCAGTCTTCGGACTGACGATCCTAACCTGACAGTTATTCCTGATGTGATACTATTTTTCCCATGGGATGCTATTTTATTAAACGGACAGCATACAAATGAAAGAAAATAATTCATTTAATCAGTAACATTTTAAGTAGTTTTTATCTTGATAATGTTGTCAGTCCATTCATCTTTTTTATTAAAGACATTGATCGACACTGATTACAATTTATCTGGAGTTCCGTCCCCGGTTACATCGTTAAGATGCTTTCGTAATGTACAATGTGAATGAAATGAAGTCCGTCTCTAGCGCACGTGAAGGCTCATGAGATTTTAAACTAGCTATACCACAAGTTTTTCTTATACAGAGCATAAAAAAACAAGAAAAAACAGAATTTGACAAATCAAACTTTTAATACTGAATAGTGAAACAAAACATTATTTATATTTTTGTATTTACCACGATTTAAATGGATTTTTTGCACTCTGCATTAATAAATCTTTAATTGCAAATATTCAAATATCGTTTTTATTGTGGAATTCACGTTTTTTTTAACTACACATAATACGTAATATATTTTAATTGCAGTATTTTAGATTACCCGCACATGCTTCAATAATTATTTAGTCAGGTAATTAATGATGCAATTCGCTCATATACATATAAACGTAATAGTCGCAAGTGTTTATTATATTTTCAATGTCAAGGTGAATGCCATTTCATAGAGAATATTTAATAGCGTAAGTTACACGTTTGTGAAATGTGATTACAAAATGGCCATTTTTATACCCAAATTATTATAAGTCGGATTTGCAATAGACAGTTTAATTTTCATTTTTTCAGTTATAATATAGATAATATAAACAAAATTTATAATATTTGATAGCGATTTATTGTTTCGTTATAGAGAATTACTACTAAATTAATCAAGTTTACGTAATAAAGTTAAAAGATACAAGTGGGGGATTGTAAACCACTCAATAAGTCAAAGCAATAACCACTCTATAATTTCAGCTGAGATATACTCAAAGTAAAAACAATTAATACTTAATAATTAGTCTGGAAGATCCTAATATAATAAACTTACCATCAAGCAAGATCAAGATTTATCAAGTTTCCGGTAAACATGTGGAAGCAAAATACAAAGTTATTTTCTTATTATTATTGGTTTTTTTTGTTGTTTGAATGATTAGAAATTAAAAATTCCACATTAATGTTGTTTAAATACAGACTGAATTAACAAGTTTAGGTCAAGTGCAAACGTAAAAGGTTAATAAAACAGCAACAAATATGCGCTTACTTATTTTGATTGCAAAGAATGTAAATTGTTTTTTTTTTTTAGTAGGCAGGTACCTAACGCAAATTTTGTTTAGCATTGAAAAAAATCTGAAGCACACGTACTACGTAATATTTCCATTCTCTTTCTGATGTTTAGATGTTGAAAAGAATCTCATTCAGAACAAGTAAAAGCCTAGGCAATTAAGAGTTGGAAGGTTTGTGTTTGTGCGTAAAGTCAACATCGACGTTTCGCTTCAAATTGGGAGGCATCATCAATGTAGATTCTTTAGTTAATTAAACTATTGTGTTGTTCGGAAAATCATTTTGTTTTTTCCCGACAGAGGATTTAATTGTATTCTTTTGCACCCAACTTCACATTTAAGCCGTATAATTTTTATATGCTTTGAGAGCTCATATAGCAAGGCTTGTGTGTGAAAAATTCCAATTAATTCTACGCAGTAGTTTTTGGTTGGTGCCCTTTTAAATATGGAGAGCGATAAGCAGCATTTTCGACATATCTTACTGTTTTACTACAGAAAGGGTAAAAATGCTGTTCAAGCCAGAAAGAAATTGACTGATGTGTATGGAGAAGGTGTGTTGACAGTACGCCAGTGCCAGAACTGGTTCGCTAAATTTCGATCCGGCAATTTTGATGTCGAAGATGCACCACGTTCGGGAAGGCCGGTTGAAGCTGATAAAGACGCGATAAAGGCATTAGTTGATGTGAACCGGCGAATAACAACACGTGAGATCGGATTGAGGTTAAATTTATCAAATTCAACAGTTTATGACCACTTGAAAGGCCTGGGATTATCCTCGAAGCTCGATGTATGGGTTCCCCATGTTCTCACAGAGAGAAATCTGTGTCGCCGCATTGACGTCTGCGATTCGCTTCTCAAACGTCACGAAAATGATCCGTTTTTGAAGCGCATCATCACTGGGGACGAAAAATGGGTTGTATACAACAACGTCAAACGCAAGAGGTCATGGAGCAAAAAAGATGAACCGGCTCAAACCATTTCCAAAGCCGATATTCACCAAAAAAAGGTGATGCTGTCTGTTTGGTGGGATTTTAAAGGAATCGTTTTTTTTGAGCTTTTACCGGATAACACAACGATTAATTCGGAAGTCTACTGTCATCAGCTGGACAAACTGAATGATGCACTTCAACAGAAAAGGTCAGAACTAATCAACAGGAAAGGTGTAGTGTTTCACCAAGACAACGCGAGACCTCACACAAGTTTGGTCACTCGCCAAAAGCTTTTACAGCTTGAATGGGATACAATGCTACACCCACCATATTCTCCAGACCTGGCACCATCGGATTATTATTTGTTCCGGTCACTCCAAAATTTTTTAGACGGTAAAACCTTCACCTCAAATGAGGAGGTCAAAAACCTCCTCGATCAGTTTTTTGCCAGCAAAGACCAAAAATTTTATGAGCGTGGAATTATGCTACTACCAGAAAGATGGCAAAAGGTGTTGGACCAGAACGGTCAATATATAATTTAATAAAGTATTTGTTTATTATACGAAAACTGTCTTTCATTTCCACAAAAAAAAAAACGAAATGACTTTCCGAACAACTCTATATTTAGAAGTTATATTTATCTAAGAAACGTCGGTGTTGGTTCTACACACAAATATAAACTTTCCAACCCTTACCTGTCTAAACTGTTTGCTTATTCACATCCAAACTAAAGGGATGTAATGTCCAGTATGTTATCAGAATGAGGAAATAGTTTCAATAATTCAAATCAAAAGTAATCAACTCAAAAATTAGATCAGTTCAAGATCTGAGTAAATATTTGTAATAAAGATGAACTAATAACACAGATTATTGTAGTGTTTTCATATTTTCCGGTATTTTATGAAGGAGTGCGGGACGATTGGTCACACTGTTTGTCATGGCATTGTCCACATGACCAAAACTTGCACAGCGAGGCATAGAGAACCTCTATTAATTTATTAATATTTGCCAAATTTACCTTTCAAACAGCAACTTTCTTTCACAGTCACCGGAACTCCTAGCAGAGGTCTTTTCCTTTTCAGTTCTTCTTCTGTTAAAGTTGTATCCTTTAGCATGTTATCAACTGCTTTCGCATCTTCTATGGCATCTTGAAACCTGTCTTCCACAATGGCATTTAATATTGGATTTACTTCTCTTATTCTTTTGATATAGGAAACTACAACTTTTTCGCTTGTAATCTAAAGCAAAGAGAATTGAAATTTACTGATTATTATTATGAATCAATTTCAACAATTTTAAGGCTTCCATAGTCGACTATATGGTCTTGAAACAGTGAAATTATTTTTTAAAAATAACTGAAATATCCTAAAAATTATTAGTTTGAATTAAGCTTGTTATTTGATTGCTTGATTGATTTGATTGTCAAACGTACCCTTCTTTTTCTTATCATATCAGCCAATTTCGTAGCACTTGCTTTGAGCAGGTCATCGTCAATTGGGGGTAACGTTTTCCAAGTAAATACTTCCCTCAGCCAAAAAAATGGAGCAGTTATCCAGTCCAAAATAACCATAACGATCCATAATAATGTAACAGGTGTTTCCATTGCGATCAATCTTGAACAATGCAAGAAAAACTACATTATTATAGATACAACTAGACGCTCAAATAAATTACTACTGCTTTTTAAATTATTTTCCAATTTGTTGGATACTAGTCATTATTATTTCGGCGATGCTTTCACTCTTAGTCGTCCTTCATAATAATGACCCATTAGGTGGAAACAAGAATTCGTTTAATGGTCATGGTTTATCAGACATTGTTTAGGAAGAACGGTAATAGGGTTGTGACTATGGCTAGGAATGCAATATAAATTCAGTTTTAAACTAGATACCCTCTTATGAAATTGCAAAATTAATTCAATATTATTTCCGAGAGTATAAATGCACTATCTGCACCACTTAATTATAGTATAATTGATGTTATGCTCTCATAAAATGAATGTGTAACTGTCAGTGGCGGATCTTTAAAGATAGAAGGTGCTCCTCTTTGAAGTTCTGACCAAAACAAATCAGGTGGTTGCTGAGTGTCAGTGGTTTTCGGGATGTCCAGTCGGTCAATGCGCACTCGAAATAACTGAGATGAGCAAAGGCAGGTCATTGATCCATTTAACCCTTAACATTGCATTGGTGGTAGGGTAAGCTGTATCTGGAGCGTCTTTAACGTCAAATAATACGTAACAACTGAGCAAGTGTTTCAGCTTGCTCACGACCTGTAGTAGATAATGCGTTTCGCGGTTAACGAAAGACAAAAAAAAATTGTCTCTGGTATGTTTAGAAAATAAATAATTGCACCTACTAATTGTTAATTCATGTTTTCCCTATGTGAACAACCCCGAACCGCCACTGGTAGATACATTTGTATGCGTTGAAGCAGCTAGAAGTATTTCTTTATTTCTTAACATTGCATTGGTGGTGGGGAATGCTGTATTTGGAGTGTCTTTAACGTCAAATAATACGTAACAACTGAGCAAGTGTTTCAGCTTGCTCACGACCTTTAATGGACAATGCGTTTCGCGGTTAACGAAAGACAAAAAAAATTGTCTCTGGTATGTTTAGAAAATAAATAATTGCACCTACTAATTGTTAATTCATGTTTTCCCTATGTAAACAACTCCGAACCGCCACTGGTAGGTACATATGTATACGTGGTAGCAGCTAGAAGTATTTCTTTATTTCTTAACATTGCATTGGTAGTGGGGAATGCTGTATTTGGAGTGTCTTTAACGTCAAATAATACGTAACAACTGAGCAAGTGTTTCAGCTTGCTCACGATCTGTAATGGACAATGCGCTTCGCGTTTAACGAAAGACAAAAAAATCGCCTAAGTAATGTTTAGAAAATAATTAAATACATCTACTAATTGTGAAATTATTCTCCTCATATTTCAACGACCCCGGACCGCCACTGGTAGCTACATATATATGTGTAGTGTGTATTTCCCTATTTCTAGCCGGAATTATGCATGTATATTTCCCGCCTTTATATAACCGCCTCTTATTATATATTTGCGTTGTGACTTTTGTTTTTGTTCAAATTAGTTAATAAAAAACTACTAGAAACAACATAAAGCTTAACAGAAAATAATTAGAACGTAAAAAAAAATTTGCAATGAATGAAATTAAAAAATTCATCAAGAGAAAGTCTTATAATTAGATATATTGTAATGAGCAAACTTTTGCGTTAACAATAAAACTAATAATAAGACCAGCAGTTGAAGATAAAAAAGAGAAAATTAGAGCAGGGATCATCATCATCATAAATTGTTTTCAACTACGCTTAATTTATCTCATCTAATTATTGTTGTTGTTACTTTCAATAGTACATTCGAATACAATATATTTTTCTTGCGTAATATTTGTTTATGTATTACGAAGAATAATAGACAGAAGTACCTACTGTGGTAAACAGTGCGTAGATACAAAAGATTACTTTTTTCTTTACTNTAAACGTGACTGGGCCCCGCGCTGTCGTTTGTTTTATATTTCTACCACTCCTCCCAACTTAAGTTATTTCTAGATATTGAAAATTAACTTTTAACTTCCCTTGCATACCAATATTTTTGTTTTATACTACAATCATTTGTCAATATCTCTTCCACCTTTTATTTAAAGAAATCTTTAATTGCTCCCCCTTCGAATATTGAATTAAAATTTGAAATTTGACATTCATGACAGTAATATCATCTTCCTCATAGGATCGTCAGTCCTGAGACTGGCTGACCATGCACCTTGCTGAGTGGTGTATATTTTAAATTAAAAGTGCAATTTTGAAGATCAAAACAAGTTCCATTTGCTATTAGTTTCCAGTTCCGAGAAAATTTACTATTTATTTCTGTTTCCGTTATGACACTTTCGTTTATTGCTAATTTACAGCAACGCTAATTAATGTTACACCCATATAAAACAACTGCAAACTGATAAACGCCGAACTGGGAGTAAAAAAAAGGAATAACAGATTTAAGTAGGTAGTGTATTAAATTTATTTTTAATTTCTTGCGTTATTTTACGCAGAAGATCCAGAAATAGAAGCAGCCAGAGAAAGCAAAGCTAACGTGACGCAGTGACTTGAATGTTTAATAAATGCATTGGTGTGGAATGAGATTTTATTCCGACAATTACTCGTTTGTTTTTTTTTGTTCTCATTACTTCAAGTGCTTGACTAAGGAAGCGAGACGTTCTCGTTGCGGCCTTAGATAGAATCTGCAGCATGTTGCAAATGCAGAAAGCATTTGTCATGCATAATATTAAGTATACCATGCACGTGGAGAATAAATTAATTTGCTCTGTGTTTCGCTAGAAATAAAGGATCATTCTGAAGTTTAAAAGTTAGAGATAAATAGTACAAAGAATCAAGTGTGACTCGCGGACCGAGGTTGGATGCCAATCAATCAATCGGCCTCAGATTAGGAATAAAATCATTATTATTTAGTGCATAATGTCGTTTTTGAAAGCCTACATAATATTTTATACGTCATCATCATCATAAGGTCGTCAGTCCTAAGACTGGTTGGACACGCACCTCCACTCTTTCCTAGTCTGAGATAATCATCGCATTTACCTAAACTAAAAACTAGTACATCCCACATCTTTAACTATTTGTGAACAGTAATCTTATCTAGGTCTATCTCTACTCCTCTTAACTTCTGTTTCTGCTTCTAATATGTTCCTGACTAGTCCTTCAGATAAGTAGATATTAGGAAGGGAATCGGACAGGGATGCACACTGTCACCGCTACTTTTTAATCTATAAATACAGTACAACTGTAGGGATGTATATACAGGGGAAAAAGATTAGTATGGTTAGATTAGCATCTATCAAGGAGGAGTTAGAGATAGCTTTAAATAAAATGGAAGCGGTATTGATAAAACAGTACTGTATGATAATAAATAAAAGTAAAACTAAAATACTGGTAGGCAAGGGAAGAAAAAGCAGGAAAAGAGCGAATATAAAGATAGGAGACGAAACATTAGAAGAAGTGGCTGATTGTAGGTATCTAGGAAGTCAGATTGGTCAGGACGGAAGGAGTGGTAGGGATAAAAGCAGGATAGCGTTGGGTCGAGTTGCCTTCAAAAAAATGAAGTCACTTTTATGCCCGCAAAAGGTTATATATTAGAAACGGGAGTTAGGAAAGTTAGAGGTAGGCCTAAACTAGATTAGGATGTGGGTTGTTCTAGCTTTAGTGAAATGCAAAGATTAGCTCAGGATAGGAAAGAGTGTACGTGCGGGTCTAGCCAGTCTTAGGATTGACGACCTTATGATAAAGACAACCGTTCATGCCTAAGAAGGTATCTTATAAACATAACTCGCATAAAATAATTCGAAGTGGTCTGTATTCTGTCGAAACTGCCAGACGCGGATCGCGATTTCGATCTTTTTGGATCTCATTAGCGCGTCGCAGGAAGCTCCGACAGAACACAGACCAACTTTTACCTGCTGTCTTAACAGTGCGTTTCAGAAAATACTACAAACGGCACAGTGAACGCCATCTGTAGCACGATGCTACATTTTAGGATTACGTATTT